GTCTAACTGATCTCCTTGGTTTCAGATGTGCAGTTTGGCTGATAATCTTGAGATCTTTTTAAGTGGTGCCTGTTGGATAAACTACCCTGGACCCTTTCCAGAATGTTTTTGAAGAGTGAGCTTTGTATGCATATATGTTAAGACTATTTTTTAAAGTGCCTGCCTTTTACTGTTGGCAGTTGGAAGCTTTTTGGAACTGAGGAGAGTGCTGCTGCTGCTGCTCCTGAATGTTAATGTCAGGCTGGCAGCTAACCTACAAAGAGCAGGAGGAAGTGAAGAAACGTCTCTGTGAAACATTGCTTAAAGCTGTTTAAGCTTGGACTAGAGATGGCAAGCAGGAAACAGAGCTGATTCTTGTTTTATGTTTAAAAGAGAGGCATCCCCTCCATTGAGAATTAAACTCCTTAAGAGTGTCCTCACTTAAGAGTTTTGCCATTGTTGAACATTTACAGGCAGTCTGTGTTTTAGGCCCATTTGAGGTACCAGAGTCACAAACCTTGGGCCAGGAGGGGAAAGATGAGCTCAACTCTTCTATAATTTGTCGAAACTAAAATGGGGTAAAGAAAGTGATGTGGGAAGAGGAAGGAATTGTTTGGGGGACTATGACACAGGGAGAACAGAAATTAGGGAAGATTTTATGTGTATTAAATAGAGGTTTGAGAAGGATTAGGCTAGAGGGAGGCTAACAGCAGTGCGACCTGAGAACTAGCGAGTAGATTTTACTTGTACTTGAAGAGTGTAGAAGATGAAATTTCCACTTGGAAATTTGATTGGGGGAGTTTGGGAGGTTGGTAATCTCTACTCCCAGAGTAGAGTATGGATTTCTGTAGGCATCAGGGGGCCATAATGAGGCTTCAGCAGAGAGGGCGTTCTGGTTTTAACTTTGTATTGGTGCTGAGTCCAGGCCCTTGGACCGGTCAGGCAAGCATCGTACCACTCAGCAACATCCCTAGCAATCACTCTGTTTGTTTGTTTGTTTTTTAAAGATTGACATACACACTTTGGATTAGTGGTGTTTGAGGCTTTTGGATTGTACTGTCAAAAGAGACAAATGCTGGGGGTTATGTGATTTGCGTGACTATTGAATTTAAGGAGTTAAGGACTGTTAGCAGTGATTAGTCTCATTAGTGGGTGATTATGATTCCTTTAACATAGGGACTATGTAGGAAGGAGAGCTGACCCTACAAATTTTCCTCTGACCTGTGTGCATTTGTACACATCATGATACCTGCATGTCCCTTGCTCCACTCAAGAAATTAAAATTTTTAGGAGGTAATATATTGTTTGCCCTGAATCAATCTCTCTCTCTCTCTCTCTCTCTCTCTCTCTCTCTCTCTCTCTCTCTCTCTCTCTCTCTCTCTCTCTCTCTCTCTCTCTTTGGTTTTTTCAAAACATTCCTCGGTGTAGCTTTGTGCCTTTCCTGGAACTCACTCTGTAGCCCAGGCTGGCCTCGAACTCACAGAGATCCACCTGCCTCTGCCTCCCCATTGCTGGGATTGGGATTAAAGGTGTGCACCACTGCCCGGCTGCCCTGCATCTCTTAAAACACAAATTTATCTTGAGCTTTGAAGATTTATCATAATAGTACGATAAATACATTCTATAAAGTTTTTAGTTCTGGAGTTCAGGGATGTATTGTAACTGTGTAACTCAGACTCTTGAAATTACAGGCAAAATTGTGTGTGTGTGTCTATTAGATTTTTGAGAAGGGCCCAGTCTCACTTTTATGAGATTCTTACGGGCTCTTGACACACAAAAGTCAAGGGCCTTTTCAGTAATGTTAATGATGAAATCCGGTGATGCTTGTGTTGGCTAGTTGGCCGAAATAAGTTCCAGGGAGGGATTTTGAGTGGGTCTCCTAAGTGAGGAGCTTCCCTCTGAGGTACTTCTTAGAGATGGAGTGGGGACACTTAGTGGAGGGCAGGAGGAGAGCCAGAGCAAAGCTAAGGCAGTTGCAGAAGTTTACCTGGTCACTGTGGGTTTTTATTCTTCAGGACTCAAGCTAGTGTCTGACTGTTCATACACAGTGAATACAGTAGGCATTGGGAGGGGTCAGTACTACTGTTTTAAAGGAAAAATGTGTCTTTAAAGAAAACAAATTGGCTCGTAGATTATGTTCAGAAAAAAATTTTTAAGTTAAAAATTGCTTCCTCGGCCGGGCGGTGGTGGCGCACGCCTTTAATCCCAGCACTCGGGAGGCAGAGCCAGGCGGATCTCTGTGAGTTCGAGGCCAGCCTGGGCTACCAAGTGAGTTCCAGGAGAGGCGCAAAGCTACACAGAGAAACCCTGTCTTGAAAAACCAAAAAAAAAAAAGTTGCTTCCTCTTATTTATTTATTTGTTTGTTTGTTTGTTTATTTTGGTTGATTGGTTGATTGGTTTCAAGACAGGGTTTCTCTGTGTAGCCTTGTCTGTCCTGGAACTCACTCTATAGATCAGACTGGTCTGGAACTCACAGAGATTCGCCTGCTGCCTCTGCCTCCCCAGTGTGCACCACCACCACCCAGCAAGAATTGCTTATAGCTTAACATTTTCTAAAGTATACAATTGTTTCAGTTTATTGATATATCGCAAGATATTTGCTCTCCCTACCTAATTTATGTGGTCATGAAGTGAAAATACTATTGTTCTGTTTTGTTAGGGTCTTTGAAACATGGCTATAGAATAAATACTTTGAAATACTTTGATATTCAAGATAGTTTAATGCTAACACATTACTTACAAATAAATATCCCAAGCTAGGTGTGGTAATGGATGCCTTTAATCTCAGCACTTGAGAGGCAGAGGCAGGTGGATCTCTCTGATGGCCTGGTCTGCATAGTGAGTTCTAGGACAGCCAGGGCTACATAGAGAGACCCTGACTCAAAAATAGATAGATAGATAGATAGATAGATAGATAGATAGATAGATAGATAGATAGATAGATAGATAGATATTCCATGCAAAAAATCTGCTTGGTTCCCAGAGTAGTTCATTCTGAAATTTTAGATAATTGTTACTTTTCAGTTTTTTACTCAAATCTTTGGCCTTTGAAATTAGATTAGGAGACAGTTTTTATCGGTTCTTAGTTTCTGTGTGGTAATCTCTGTACATTCATTTTATTTATTTATTTGGTGGTGCTGGGAAATTGAACCCAGAATGTATCCTTGCTACAAGTCTTCTACCAGTAAGCCACACCCTTAGCCCTGATCTTCACACTTTTGATTGCCATGCTCACAAATAATTAATACTGTTGACATTGTTTTTAGGCTATCCTGCAGAAATACTGGCAAATACAGGAATGATGGATAGATAAGTTTTGGCTAATTTTAAACAGAGAAAGTTTATGTTACACAGTTTGTGGTTAGTTTGTATTGATTACTTTAAAAATTTGACACATAATTATACTTATTTGGGGCTATAGTTGTATTGACTTAAAAGTAAGTAGTGTACAATAGTCCAATCATAGTAGTTAGCACATTCAGCACCAAACATATTTATGTTGAAAATATTCAGAATCCTCTTTCCTCCCTATTCTGGCTCTGTGCTACTCTGTAGACCTGAGAGCTTAATGCAGTTGTGTTTTGTGCCTGTTAGCCAGCCTCTGCGCATCCTTTTTACTGCTGCTTTCCTTCCGCCAACTCTTCTGCTTCTGGACCTGTTGCGAATGGGTGAGGACACATGAGTTTTGTCGTCCTGTCCTGTGCCTGGCCTGTTTCACTTGTTGCTCTAAAGTGGACTATTGTATGCACTAATCTACGAGGATCCAAATAGAAGGAAAGTATTTTGTCGGTTCCTTAGGCCCCACTCCCTCCCTCCTTCTCTCTCTCTCTCTCTCTCTCTCTCTCTCTCTCTCCCTCTGTCTCCCTCCCCCTCCCTCCCTTCCCCCTTTTGATCATTAAGTAGTTATGAAATAAAAGTTTTAGTGACCAATTTCCCATATAAAAAGCCCACATATCGAAGAATCAGCAGGGTTTGCTAAGTAGGTGCACCATCACTGAATCAGCATCTCAGCCTGCAGTGGGCATGAGTACTGAATATAAGGAAGAAATGGTCCTAATCTATAGCTAACTATAGTGTGGCTGCTGGAATTTTGCCTTTCTTTAATTTTTGGTTTTATAGAATTTCTTGTGAATAAAAGTTACTTCTAAAATGAATCCTGTGTCTGTTATGTTAATAACTATATTTACTGAATGTAAACATACATGTAATATGAATTCACTATAGAAAAGTAAAAGAAACAACTATCATGTAAAGAACACTTTAATATATTATTTAAATTATTACATTTATTTGTGTGTGTGTGTGTGTGTGTGAGAGAGAGAGAGAGAGAGAGAGAGAGAGAGAGAGAGAGAGAGAGGAGAGAGAGAGAGAGAGAGGAGAGAGAGAGAGGAGAGAGAAGACAACCTGGAGAAGCCTGTTCTCTCCATCATGTGGGTGTCAAGGTTTTAACTCAAGTCCTTAGACTTTATGCACTGAGCAATCTTACCAGCTTAATAGATATGATTTTAGATCATTTCCTAGGTGTACATGTACACACAGTCCATAGATCACTGTATTTGGTAGAGAATAATACAGTATATACTGCCCTAGACCATCTTCAGTGTATTTGATATCACCAATTTATTTTTGTCCTAGAACTTTTTTTCTTTTTTTTTCCGAGACAAGGTTTCTCTGTAGTTTTGGTGTTTGTCCTGGATCTCCCTTTGTAGACTGTCTGGCCTTGAACTCACAAAGATTCACCTGCCTCTGCTTCCCAAGTGCTGGGATTAAAGGCGTGTGCCACCGCATATTTTCTTTTTGAGATTGGATCTCTCTATGTAGTTCTGGATGTCTTGGAACTCTTTTTGTGAACTGGGCTGGCCTTGATCTCAGATCCTTGAACCTCTGCCTCCAGAGTGCTGGGATTAAAGGCACCACTGTACCCGGCTCCCTGAATTTTTTTCTTTTCCTTCCCTCCCTCCCTCCCTCCCTCCCTCCCTCCCTCCCTCCCTCCCTCCCTTTTTTCTTCCTTTTTTTTCCTTCTTTTTCAAGACAGGATTTCTCTGTGTAACAGTCCTGGCTGTCCTGGACCTCAATTTGTATACCACAGTGGTCTCAAACTGTCTTCCTCAGCCTCCCAAAGTGCTGGGATTAAAGGTGTGAGCCACTACTGCCTGGCCAGTATTTTATATCTTTATTGCATCCACCTACTTTCAAACTTTAAAAATATTTAAAACTTTATTTTTTGTTTAAAACCCATATAAGCTGGGCATGGTAGCTCAATCTTGTCTTTATATTCTGTGGTAGCTCTAGTAGGGATCGGAAGTTCAAGGTCAACCAGAGCGTACAGGGAGTCGAGACTTGTGGGCTATGTGAGGTTCTGCCTAAATACCTTCACTAAGCGTATTTTTGTCTTGACCTACACAGGGCTACGGTAATGTCAGTGAAATCTAACTCTGCCTTTCTTCCACTTAACGTCCAGGGATTGTTACCTTGTAATGACAATGCTGCCTTCTGGATCCTTCCTGAAGGACCTGACAGAGGTATTGAGGAGATCTACTTCCTCAGAAACTTGTGCATAGTAGTTATTTACTTTGTGTGTGTGTGTGTGTGTGTGTGTGTGCTGTTGGTAATCAGAAAATACACTATGAACATCTACTCAATTACTAAATCTTTTGGTGTTAGGATTACAAGACATTAATTATTATAAAATTTCATTCATGGCCATGCATGGTTAAGAAAAGGCTGGAAAATGAAGGAGTTTGGATAAAACTCTTGGGAAATGATAGAGCAGCGAGCTAGGGCAGAAGGAACAGTGCTTCAGGTTCAAGGAAATAGGGCTGCTACAAAATGGGATTTGTCTTCATCCTCAGTTTGTGGGGAAAAGGAAGTTAGAGACATCCGGAGCTGCACTGGGAGGCACATGCCTGTAATTTCAGCACACGGGGAGGCAAGAAGATCGAGACTTTGAGGCTGGCCAGGGTGACCTCTCAAAATGAGAGTGTGTGGTGACACCTTTTATGCCAGCACTCAGGAGGCAGAAGCTGACAGACCTTTTGGGAGTTCAAAGCCAGGCTGGTCTACAAAGTGAGTTCCAGGACAACCAGGGCTACACAGAGAAACCCTGTCTTGAAAAACAAAACAAAAAGTAATGTGTCCCTTTCTCTCTGAGCATCTTCAGTGACAGAAACCCTAATACTGCCTGTCAGAGTTCAGCCAGTCTTGGAGACCTGGAGCTGGCCAGATACGTAATTTCAGGCTTGGGATGGTAAAACATCTGACAGGCAAGCCCAATGATCCATGTTTAATTCCCAGGGCCCACATAAGAACGCTGAATGCTAGGGTGTGCATCTGTGAGCCTGGCACTTCTACCGAGCATGTTCCTGCCCACATGCTCACACAAAACTATTATGTATATGAGTGCTCTACTTGAATGTATGCCTGCATGCCAGAAGAGGGCATCAGTCCCATTATAGACAGTTGTGAGCCACCATGTGGTGCTGGGAATTGAACTCAGAACCTCTGGAAGAGCAGCCAGTGCTTTTAACTGCTGAGCCATCTCTCCAGCCCTCATACACAATTTTTTTATTTTTACTTTTTATTTTATTTTTATTTTTTTTTTGAGACAGGGTTTCTTTGTGTAGCCTTGGAGCCTGTCCTAGAATTCACTCTGTAGCCCAGGCTGGCCTCGAACTCACAGAGATCCGCTTGGCTTAAAGGCGTGCACGCCGGGGGGGGGGGGGGGGGGGGGGGGGGGGGGGGGGCGGGCACACACCCCGCCCACCCCCCCACCCCCACCCCGCACAAAAATATTTTTTAAAGAAAATTTAACTTTAACTGAAATTGCACCTGGAATTTTTTTCTGTGGATCATCTGTTCTCTAGGGTTTCCAAAAACAAGTCTAGTTTCCATTTTGTTACAATATTGTCTCCATTCTAGTTCAGCTATCCTTATATCCCTTAGCCTTCCTGGGGAGAAAAGCAAGTGTGTTAGAATAGTAAGGTTGGGGAGGAAGGGCTGTATTACGTTCCTAGGACTGCTCTATCAAATTAACAAAAGCTTAGTGCTTTGAAAGAAAAGAAATGTATCCACTCCAGAGAGATGTGTGAGTGAGTAAAGTCATGGTGTGAGCTTAGCAACAGTTGGGGTGCCCAGAACACATGTGGAAGCTGGGTAGAAGGCAGAGGTGGGATCCTTGAGTAAACTAGCTAGTGAGACTGGCTGGAGTTGACTAGCTCTGGGTTCAGCAAGAGACCCTGTCTGTGTCAGTAAAGTGGAACTTTGGACAGTCACATCCATGTACACATGCGTGCATGTCTGAACCTACATGTGCAATTAACATACACGCATACTAACAAATAATTACGCATTGTAAAAAACTTTTGTTTAATGTGGGTTATATATATATTTTGTTTGTTTGTTTTTGTTTTTCGAGACAGGGTTTCTCTGTGTAGCTTTGCGCCTTTCCTGAAACTCACTCTGTAGCCCAGGCTGGCCTCGAACTCACAGAGATCCACCTGCCTCTGCCTCCTGAGTGCTGGGATTAAAGGCGTGCGCCACCACCGCCCGGCCATTGTGGGTTATATTTTTGATATTTGTCATATTAAATACTAAAATAGAAATTTCAAAAATGTTTGTTAATTTAAAAATACCAATAATAAACGTACAACATGTTGAAATTTTTTTATTTCTTTGGTTAAAGTATAAGAAGCTATCTCAATCAGAACACACACACACACACACACACACACACACACGCACACACGCACATACGCACAAACATCCCACACAAGTTGGGTAAGAGCCTTTTTAGGTACTTGTGGATATTATTCTTAGATATTAAACCCAAACTCCATAGTAGTAGCTTCTTGAACATGAGGTATAAAGTAGAATATGAAATCATAACTGTACTTTTCTTAAAATCTATTTGATTGTCATACACCTTGGATGGATGTTTGCTGAGACAGTCTGACTTGTCCAGCCTGCCCACAACACCTAGGCTCATGATCCTCTTGCCTCTGTGTTCCTGATGCTGGACCTGCCACTAAGTCTAGTCACAATGGGTCTTTTAACTCAAGAATGACCTTGTGGGTATCTGACATGGGTAATTTGGAAAGTAGTTCACTGAGTTATGTAGATCTTATAAATATTGACACAAGCATTTATTAATATCTCCATTATTTGATCAGAAAAGACTTAAGTAATGAAGTTATCAGGCTTACTGGAGTAGATACAACATTTCCCAAAATTCTATCACTTAAAGTATCAGATTTTGTCATTGGCAGTTAGTAACAGGTTCACTTACAGTTTTTGAGAAAAATCCTGTGCAGGACTTAATATCATATAGTTTGTTAGCCATTTTATCAAAGAAAAGTGATAACTGTTTGGGGAAAAGGTTGCTAATTTAGTTTGCAACTCAAACCACGCCCCACCATGCTTTGATGACCTGTGACTGTTGTCACAAGGACAGAATACTTGTGCATACTCTGCCTTTGTTGAGCATGAAGAGGCAGGAAGGGTGGGTGTTCGATGAAACTAGTAGTAGTTGGAAGCGAGGGTAGTGGGTCACACCTGTTGTGTATTATCCCATTACTCAGGAGGCTAAGGCAGCAGGATTATCGTGAGCTCAAGGGCTGCACAGTGAGTTCCAGGCCATCAGGGGCTGTCTCAAAAACCCAAGTAAAGATGGTGTATGACACACACCTTTATTTAATCCCAGCACTCAGGAGGCAATGGCAGGAGATTATCTGTGAGTTCAAGGCCAGCGTTGTCTACCTACAGAGTTCCAGACCCGACCAGGGCTACATAGTGAAACCCTATCCCCCAAAATTAAATAAATAATTTTTACTCTTTCTTCAAGTGCATGCTTAAATAAACTCTCCCTCTTTGCTGTGAGCACGTGAAAATGAAGATTATATGGCTGCTAGTCAGTCCAGTATGGCACTGTTGTATTGGATTGTCCTATGTTAGTACTCTGATTCCACCATTGCTGCTGCATCCTAAATGTTAATTGAAACAGTGGGGGGGGGCACATATTAGTTACCATGAAAGTAGTTTGTTTGTACAGTGTTCTGCCTGCATGGATGTATGCCTGCAGGCCGGAAGAGGGCCCCAGATTTCATTATAGATGGTCGCTGGGACTCAACTCAAGACCCCTGGAAGAACAACCAGTGCTCTTAACCTCTGAGCCATCTCTCCAGCCCCATGAAAGTAGTTACCCGATTGATCCCTTGAAAGAGTCTCAGAGACCCCTTTGGTTCCATGGTCACTTGCAGACTGATCCTGAACTTTATACACAGAAAGTACAGAACGGACATTTAATGAATTTGATATGCTATTATTTAAACAAGACAATGCTCACTGAGTACAGTTTTGTGGGCAACCTTATGTCCATGCAGGCAGCCTGATTGGAGAGCAGAGTTTCTGCTGCCGCTGTGACAATAGTGTGAGCAGACAGAAGTAGATTGTATGGCTCAGTACCTCAGACCACGAAATAACTGCGTACAGTTTGGTAAGTCTTCAGTGCCAATGTTTGAAGCCTTGTTAGATTTCTATGAATGGGTTCTCTATTTTTTGTCTTAATTTTGTAAGGTGGGGGTGCTCCTCAAGTAGGATGGAGCTGATCAGAAAAGCAAATACCAGTTTCAAGTTCAGTGGTCATTATTGTGTTGATTTGTTACAGTCTTTTGATAAGGGCCACAGAAGGTGAGATGTGAACCACCTTTTTTTTTTTTGGTTTTTCGAGACAGGGTTTCTCTGTGTAGCTTTGCGCCTTTCCTGGAACTCACTTGGTAGTCCAGGCTGGCCTCGAACTCACAGAGATCCGCCTGACTCTGCCTCCCGAGTGCTGGGATCAAAGGCGTGCGCCACCACCGCCCGGCCGTGAACCACCATTTTTAGTTTCCTGATGAGTTAGTACACAGTGCTGCTCCTCTCTTGATTTCTAAACAGTCCCTCCTTTCATTGTTGTTAGGGGGAGTTGGTTTTCAGGAACATTGTTTACTCTAAATCTTTATAGTCTTTGAATTGAAAGAGGTTGTTTCTTGAAAAAGAGGATGGGGTTGTAATTCAGTGATGGAGTGCTTACTTGGTATTTGCAGGCTCTGGCAGTCCTCACATTAAAAAACAAAACAAACAAACAAACAAAAAAAACCAACTTGGAGGGAGGGCCTATAGGAAAGGAATTAGTGAGAGCAAAATAAAGTATATATGAAGATGCCTCGGGGCTGGAGAGATGGCTCAGGGGTTAGGAGCACTGGCTGCTCTTCCAGAGGACCCAGGTTCAATTCCCAGCACTCACATGGCAGCTCACAACTGTCTGTAACTCCAGTTCCAGAGAATCTGGCACCTTCACACCAGTGCACATAAAATAAATTTAAATAAATTATTTTTAAAAAGATGCCTCCATGAAACTCATTACTCTGTGTTTACATACAAAATTAATTATAAGAAAGAGTATGGGGGACTGGAGAGATGGTTCAGTGGTTAAGAGCACTGGCAACTGTTCCAGAGGACACAGGTTCAATTCCCAGCACCCACATGGCAGCTGACAACTGTCTGTAACTCCAGTTCCAGGAGATCTGACACCCTCACCCAGACACACATGCAAGCAAAACACCAATGGACCGAAAAGAAAAGAAAGAATAGGACAAATTGTTATTTCATCCTTGCAGAAATAAATATTGAGTAAAGACATTGCTTCAAAACAGGGAATATATATATATATATATATATTCCCACCCCCCCAAGACAGGGTTTCTCTGTGTAGCTTTGGAACCTTTCCTGGAACTTGCTTTGTAGACAGGCTGGCCTCGAACTCACAGAGATCCGCCTGCCTCTGCCTCCCTAGTGCTGAGATTAAAGGCAGGCAAGGTGTGTGCCACCACCGCCCAGCTGATTTACACTTTTAATAGAAATTAATGAAGGGATTGGCTATTTCAAATACTTCCTTAAAAATAAGATATACTTATTTTATGTATATGGATGCTTTGTCTGCGTGTACATCTATCTGCACATCAGAAGAGGTCATCTGATCCCGTGAGACTCCAGTTATAGACAGTTGTGAACTGACATGTGGTTATACGGGAACTGAACTCAGGCCCTCTGAAAGAGCAGCCAGAGCTCTTAACCACCGAGCCATCTCTCCAGCCCCCTGAGTAAGAATGTCATATTATAAAATGGTAGTGCCAATGGGTCAAAGCACTGCTGATAGTCTGATAGTCTGACCTTGATGGATCCCTAGGTCCCATGGTGGAAGGAGAGACTCACCTCCCTAAAGCTGTCCTCTGACCTCCACATGTATGCTACGGCACATGTCTGAACTTAGAACACATCACATGCACACACTTATACACAGTAATAAAAATGGCTCTGTGTGTGTGTGTGTGTGTGTGTGTGTGTGTGAGAGAGAGAGAGAGAGAGAGAGAAAGAGAGAGAGAGTTGGGCATGGTGGCTTGCTCACCTGTAATCTCAGCCCTTTGGTGGAGGAGGAGGGCCAGGAATTCAAGATCATCCTTGGCTTAAGTACAAGCCTATCTGGGTTACATGAGGCCCTGTCTTACCCAAGGGGGAAAAGTCATTTAAAAAGTATATATTGCCGGACGGTGGTGGCGAACGCCTTTAATCCCAGCACTCGGGAGGCAGAGCCAGGCGGATCTCTGTGAGTTCAAGGCCAGCCTGGGCTACCAAGTGAGTTCCAGGAGAGGCGCAAAGCTACACAGAGAAACCCTGTCTCGAAAAAAAAAAAAAAGTATATATTATAACTTGATGAAACTGGTGCAGTGTTTGAGCTGGTTTATGAGAGGCATTTTTATATGCTTTTGTAAATTTGCTTAATCCTTATTCATAAGTTAAGTGAGATTATAGCAGGAAACCTGGGAACATCTTTGAATATTTCTAAGTTTTCCTGAGAACTTGAGTTTTAGAGAAAAAGCTATTTAATGGTTTTATTTTATTTAACTTGGCTTCTACCTGGTTTCTACAGAATATATAAGATAATAAACTAAACCACCTGGTAACCAGGAAAGTAATACTGATTCTACTTTAATAGAATTAGCCTAACTATGAAAGTAAAATGAGTAACTCTGAGTAATCCCTGCTGTCATTTGTATGAGCACTTTTTATTCGAATAGTGAATAAAAGTCCTTAAATGTCCATATAAACCGCAGAGCTGTATAGTCTTAAATAGACTTACCCATCCACTATACCTTTGTGATAAAGAGACTGTTCCTTTTTCTTATCGTTGCTGTTTTTGGCGAGGGATAGAGTGATAAAATGGATAACACATCCTGTCCACTTTTAGTATGAGCCTTTGTCCGCCTGCCTGCATTTTGATAATCTCAGCCTACTAAAATAATGCGTACTTCCGTTTTGTTTTCAGGGGGTTGTTTGCTATGGTCTTTATTTCTGTAGGGGTGAGTGTTAAAATTGAAGGTGGAAATAGTGGTAGACCCCCGACCCTTACTTTTTAGGACTCCATATGTGTAAGTGCCTGAAAGTATGTACACTTGCACTCTCATGGAAACCAGAAGAGGTGTTGGATGTTCCTCCTTTGTTCTTAAGCTACTTCTTTGAGGCAGGACCTCTCTCTGAACCTGGGCTTGAATTTTCTTGGTAGACTGGGAACTAGCAAGCCCCAGCAATCCTTCCCGCTAGGGTCTGAGGTTATTGGCATGCATGGGATGCCTAGGCCAGTGCTTTTAACTGCTGACCTAGCTCTTTAGCCTCCCCCCCCCCATTTTTATTATTATCCCTATTGCCGAGGGAAGGCATGTGTGTTGTAGTGCCTTTATGAGGTCAGAGGACAGCTTTGTGGGTTCTGGGGATTGACTGGGTGGTTACATGGCTTGCTGAACAACTGACTACCCACCCACTGTGCCGTCTGCTCCCTCCTTTACCCCGTCTCAAGACAAAGGAAAATCATAAAGGATACTAAGTTAATGATTTTCTTTCATGCTTGTGCCCTGCCCCTCTCTTCACTCCCCACAGGGTCTGAATATGTAGCCCTGGCTAGCATGGACTTCACTATGTAGCCCAGGTTGGCCTCAAACTCTTGGTGATCTCCTGCTTCAGCCTGCAAGTGCAAAGATTATAGGCAGAAGCCATGATGCTCAGCTGAAAATCCTAAGAGTGTGTGTGTGTGTGTAATTTTTTGAGACTGCTGAGACCTTCCCCAGTCCTAAAGATAAAGATTTGTAAATCTACTACCCTAAAGTCACAGAATGTTTTGGTATTTTCCTTTGCTTCCCCACTTTGTGTGTGTGTGTGTGTGTGTGTGTGTGTGTGTTTATTGTTTGTTTTGTACCTTTTAATACAGAAGGGATGGGGGTTTTTTGGATTGTATAAAATTGGAATAGAGTCACTTGAAGCTATGATCTAATTTAGTTGGAAAGGGAAAGAAGATGAAGGAGTATTCCATGAGACATGCCTAGGAAATGTGTTGTACCAGATACTGACAGCGCGTGGCTATAGGGACGTCTTCTAATAACATCTAGGAAGTTAGTTTTATTGTGTAGTATATTTTAAACATTCTGTGAGGGGCTGGGAGGTGACTCAGTGGGTAAAGCTATTTGCCACACCAGTCTGACCAGAGTTCAATCCCCAGAACCCACATAAGAAGCCAGATGTGGTGATGCACATCTGCCGTCCCAGCACTTCCCTGGTGAGGTGGTAGTACAGAGAGGAGAATCCCCTGGAAGCTTGCTGGCCAACCAGCCTAGAGTGTGCAGTAGTGTGCCTCAGACATTGAACCAACTCCCTAAAAGTTGTCTTCTGTGCTAGTGTGTACATGCCTACACTTACTCATCATACATACACTAACAATAAATCAAACATTGTCAAAATTTTACAAGATGTTTCTAGTAAACATATTTACCAGGTAGATGATACTTAACTTTAAATATTAACTACTATTTTGGTTTCATTCATTCATTCATTCATTCATTCATTCATTCATGTATTTAAAAATACGCTCTTACAATGGACCCTGGCTGTCCTGGAACTCCTTATGTAGACCAGGCTGTTCTCAAACTCACAGAGATCTGCCTGCCTCTGCCTCCTGAGTGCTGAGCTTAAAGGCATGGCCCATATGCCTATCTTAAATTTTTTTTTTTATGAGAAACTATGAAAATGAAACATTACAGATATTTCTGTTCCGCTTAAACCAGAGTACTATGTATGTATTGCTTATACTTTTTTCTTAGCAACTTGAGGTCACTGTGGAAAGCAAGTTACTAGCCTGTGTTGGGATTTCCTTCAGCGGCAATGCTTTTGTGTTAATTTCTCTTGTGAACCGTTGGTTAGATTTTATCAGCCCCGAATGCCACTTCAGAAGAGAGGAGGAAGAGCGTGATGCCGAGCCTGAAGTGGTTCTCTCCCTGATGGCTGTAGTGGGAAAGCCGCCTGCAGCCATGCCTCTAACTGGAGAAACTGGATCCCTCTATCTCCTCTGCCTGTCGTTTTATACATTCACATATATTCAGCACTAAAGAACTGTAAACTGTGAATATGTTT